CTCTCCCTCTCCCTCTCTCCCTCCCTTCCTCCCTCCCCCACCTACTCACTCACTCCACCCCCTCACCACTTGAGCTTTTTAGCCTGACTTCAACCAATTTGACTTGTCTAGGGAAACAAAGTCTTCCTCAAGCAGCGCGTCGGAGCTGCACCTTACACGTATGACAGCCACTTTATGTGGGTCTTCGACATGGACCCCGAGGGAACAGGACGGGCGACTGGCTTTACTGGTATTGGCGACTCCATCATGATCCGCGAAATCAACCCGACTGGCTTTAAGGAGCACTACAACTCGATGGCCATTCGGGCCGCGTTCGAAGCCTTTAACAGCGGTGCGCGCCTGTCTGACCCCCCCTCCCTGCTCGGCTGTCTGACCCCCCATCCCTGCTCGGCGCGTAACAACGCCCACCTAAACAGGCGACATTCCAACACTTATCGGCGGTCAACTCGACCCGACCAACGCCCCCGTCGTACTCATCGGGAGCGTGGGCCGGGTGCACTTCCCCAACGTGCTCGCCTTGCTTGTTGCATCGTTGCAAGGGGTCCGACCTGGGCCCAACTGGGAAGTCGCACAAATCGACGCTCAAGACGACCAGGTCTTTGCAAAGGTGCGCAACAACCTGCAATCCCCAAACCCGCGACCGGCACAAGAGGCGAGAGCCTTGCTCGGGCCTCCCCCTTCGTCCTCGTAGGTTCGCCTCACGACGACAAACGGCCTCGACTGGGCCGCCTCATATTTCGCATGAATTTTTTTGCATTACGATCGCTCCTTATCACGCTCAGCTCGCAGGTCATCACATTTAGCCTTCAATTTCCATCCATGGCGCTCCTTATTTTGTTAGAGGTGGACTTCGCGGCGTCCGGCAAGCAGTGCCATGGACTCACGCGTCCCACTTTTCACCTGCCACTCTTCGTCGCCAATTTTGCTCAAGAGACGCCCGGTCGGATCCTTATCGATTGAGAACTCGCCATAACGCTTCCCAGCGAGTCTCGCATGGCGTCTCGGAAGCCGTCGTGCTGCACATCCTCCACTGGTCGCTCAGCCTCCAGGTTAGTTGTCACGTAGTCGTAGATGGACGTGACGATGTCCAACATAAAGCACAGCTCACTTAGCGCGTTCGCAACCTTGCGAGGGCTATCACGCCTTCCGATGACATTGAGCGCGTCCTCCATTCTCTCTGCATATACTTTGAGGGGACTTGTCTCTCCCTCACCTCGTGGGTCGTCCGCGTAGAGCCTGACGTAGGTCTTGGAGAGACCATCGGACGTGATCTGACTCCGCGTGGTCCGTTATCATGTAGAATGGCAGGGGCTCGCCACTTCGTCGTGTACAAAAGGCTGTGTGAAATATTGGCGTGGTTGTTCAAGTCCCAGCTCCCAAAGTGCCCGCCGTTCTCCATGGCGCGCGTAGCTATGACAGGGACCGCGGCCGCGGACCCGGTGGCGGACGGGGCTGGTGCGCAAGCGCCGGCCACCGTCGTGCCGCCGGGGATGCGCAGCGGACCCTGGAATAGCTACGATCGCGCGCAACTGCAAGACGCGGTGATGGTCGCAAGGCTCGCAGGTGCGTCGCAGGTCAGGCTGATAAGGCCTGGCTACGCGACCATCGAGGTCGACCTGAAGCACGAGAAGGCCGCGGGCGACCGCGAGTCTGTGCAGGCGGCGGAGCGCTCGTTCATCGAGCGCACCGCGCCGCGGAAGAAGGAGGAGCTGACGGAGGAGCAGAAATGCTCGGGCCGCGGCTCGCAGGGCCAAAAAGGCCCGGCAGAAGGCGAACAAGGCGGAGAGGAAGGCTGCGGCGGCGGCCGCGAGCGAGGCCGAGCGTGCGGACTACCCGTACGCGCAGCTGCGCGAGAACGCCATGTTCGTGGTGGAGGGCCTGGAGGCTGCGGCGCAGGCGGCGCGCATCCCCACAGGGTCCAAGATTCAGGTCTCGCCTACTCGCTCCCTCCCGAGGGGGGCAGCGGGTTCGGTGACATGGTGTACGCCACGGTCCCTCTGGGCTCCGTGGCGACGAAGGTTGCCCGGGACTGGCTCGCTAGCGAGCTCTACGAGCCGTCCCGGCGAGGCAAAATTGATGCGGCCTGCAGGGACCGAAAGGTTGCCGAGCTGATCACGGCTGCCGGCGCCTCGGCGCCGGCCGACGCCGTGTTCGGCGGCAGGTTCGCGACGGGCGAGACGCCCCGCCCGACGACCTCCGCCTCCGAGGCGGACGAGGGCGACGGCGGCGATGCTGCGGCGATGGCGGGGCCGAGAACATGTCCTTTGACTTGTTCTAGGTCCCCACCCCTGGCCTCACCCATATCTTACCTTCTGCCCCCCCCTCCTGCGACCCCCCAGGCTGATGGAGTAGTCACAGATAAGCCGGATGAAGATTCTGCCCCACACAGCCCCTTACCCCTTCACCCTCGCCTCGCTGCTTGGTGTTTCTGAACACGTAGACGACCACGCTGTGGGGATTGTGTGCGGGTTGTGTCTGGGAGGGAGGGAGTGGGGTGCAGGTTGCTCACCCACGGCACCGGGCCGGTGCTTGCACTTTGAATGCCGTGGGGCTCCTGCCCGTGTCCCGGGCGTGGAGATGCGAGGGTCGCCCCCCCTTGCCCCACCACTTTGTGTGTGTGGAGACGTTTACCTTACCTTACCTTACTTAGGCCCTTGCCACGGAGGGGCCCCCTGAGCGTGAATCTGCCACCGTCCTAAGGGACGCCCTGCCAGCACCCCACAGCCGGCCGCTGCTAAGCCAGGGATCAAAATTGATCAAAATACGGCTTTCATGGGTGAGGGCCCCAGCCCCTTCCACAACCGTGCAGGACCAGGTTCTAAACATCGGGCACCTCAGCCCACCCCCGTCCACGCGGCTCGCAACTCGGCCGTCCAACTAATGTTGCGGGGCGTAGAGCCTCGCCGGCGGTGTAGCGCCTTTAAGATCGTGCGCTTCTGCGTGTGTGCTGCTACTGGCCCGCCCTTGCTGACGCTGGTGCGGCCCATCAGTTGCGCAAAGGGCGCGGCCTCCGGCGTGCGCGTCTGGCTGTTGTTCTCGTTGCAGCGGTATCGTGTCAGCCAAGCAGCCGCCACGTGGCGCACCGTCTCGTTTGAGGATCGCGAGTAGAGCCGGCTCGCTCTTGCGCCGAGTGCTGACAAGCACTCGGGGCGGGGCGTCTGCGCGTGGGCCGCACGAGCCGCGGCGGACATCGCAGCGGGCTGCTGCTCGCCGCATTGCACCTCCACCGGCTCGCCGCATACGCCTACAGCGACGAGCTCTGGCCGACGATGAGCCGAGACGCCGTCGACGAGCGGAAGCGCTGTCCCACACGCGCCACTCGGCTGTGAGGCGAGAGGGTTGCGGTTGTGGCAGCCGGGGTGCGTCGTTGCGATCGGGCACATGACGTCGTAGCCGCTCACGGCCGAGGCGTTGCAACCTGCACAGCCCGGGCGAATCAGGATCTCGCGACAACTCATGTGGCGCTACCGATGCAACTGCCGGTTGATGCGTTCCGGTAGTGAAGCAAATCTCGGGCGCTTTTGCTCGGGCTCTGGCGGTGCCGCTTTGGCGGTGCCGCTCACCCGTCGGAGGCCGCCAGATGGCGAGGCGTGCTGGCAGCGCGCACTGGCCCCGGCCCGGCTTCACAAACCGGCCGAGGTTGAAGTCGCGGAAGGTGTGCGCTGCAAAGCCGAGCTGGCAGCGCTGCCTGCTCAAAGCCGGGGCGGTGAAGAGGTCGTGTTGCACCACTGCTGCCTGATGGGTTGGCACTGCTGCCGCAGCCGCATGGTGGTGAAGAAGTATAGCCCCCAGTAGTGGTGGGGCGCAGAGTTGTGGAAGCCAAGCTTGTTCCTGCCGACAGGTGGTGGCGTGAGCGGCGATCGTATTCAGTCGACAAGCAGAGGCGGACGATCCTGATGAGGCGCGAGTAGCGCGCGAAGTCGTCATATGTCTCGTGAAAGCCGTCGGCGAGTGCCGCGTCGCCAATCTACTCACAGTTCGTTTGGTCTTGCGGCGCCCGATTGCAGCGCGTCGCCGGCTGCCGCCGCGCTCGCTAACCCACCACCAGTCGACGTTGACCGAGTTTGCGCAGAAGCTCATCTGGCGCAGCGCCGGGCCGGCACTTGCAGCGGCGGAGCCGCCCTCGCCACGAGCGGAGTACTGGTCGCAATCCGTACCGAGGACCGACCTGTGCGCCGGAGGAGGTGAGCAGCAAACATGACAGGAGGCGGCGGATGGGAGGGGCGAGGGGTTGTCGTGGCAAAAACTCCCCTCACCGCTTCCGTTGGAGATATACCTGGTTGCGATTGGAGCCCTTGTACGCGCTTTCCTCACAGTCGTGGGCGAGCCAGAGCCGCACCTGGCACGAGGCCTCGGGTCACCTCGACCGATCTCAGGCCGATGGTCGGCTGCGTCGAGTATTGAGGAGGCGCGCCCCGTCGTCGACACGCACGACCGGCAGTGGGTTGAACCTGCGCGTTGCGACAGAGGCTGACAGACGGATAGCACTGTGCGAACTGATCAGTTGACCGAGAGGTGCAGACGGCGGTAAATATGCGTTGTGTGGGCAGCCAAAGGTTGGATACTTGGATGCGTGCACAGCAGCTAGGGGAGAGGACCATCGCACGTCGTGCCGCATCACGATGACCGGGCCTTGCGACTGTCCACGCCCCGCGGCCGCCCAACGCGTTCGCATCGCCAACGCCTCCTTCATGCCGAGCAACGCCCACATCGTCCGCCCACAATACGCGAGCCGCTCCCGAGGCGAGACGCCCGCCAGACAGTTGGGCATCGAGTCGTTCTGCAAGGCGTGGGACGAGGCGGTGGGGCTCCAAAAGGCGTCCATGCGGCCTGCAAGCTCCGGATTCCTGAAGCGCGGTCGGTGATGGGTTTGGCGTCGGGGAGTGTCCGCGGCGCGGGGAGGCCTGGCAGAGTGGTAGCATGGGACAGCGACAGAGGAGCGATTCACCAGCTCTGCACGAACACGGCGAGCCTCACTCCCGCCGCGCGCCACGGCTCAAGCACCTGAGATCTAATCGAGTTTGCGCACTCGCGCCAAAGTCCCTTGTCCCCGTGATCACCCGCCTTCATGCTGGCAGTGCGGGTCGTGTACGTCCCAACGCGGCCGTAGAGCACCAGGGTCGCCGTCTGCTCAGGCATCGTGGCAAGCGGGGCCGATGGAAGAGCCTGCGAAAAAGAATTTTACCAGCCGGCGCGAAAAAGAATTTTGGCGGTCCCACGACACGATTCACGCGACAGGCGAGGCGCGGGCGACGGCTTCCTCAGAAGCCGTCGCCCGCACCACAGGAGCCCGACCCGAGCAACCCCGCCCCAACCCGACCCGACCCGATCCACCCCGCCCCGCCCCGCCCCGCCCCCCCCACCGGACTAACCCGCGAGCCGCTCCCGGCTCCGCCCCCCGCCCAACCCCCACCCGCGCCTGTGCCTGCCACCCGCGCCGCCTCCTCCACGCTCACCTTACCACAAGAGCAACACTCAAGATAGCTCCGGGGACGCTGCGCCCCGCCCGCGCTCGCGCCCCGACTCGGTGCGTGGCATGGCGCAGGCTGCTGATGCTCGGCGACTTTGTGCTCGTCGCTCTCCTCGCCGACTTCCTCTCGCTCTACGCGGAGGCCGTCAAGGAGGGCGGCCTCGAGGCAAACGTCTCGCTCAACGGCGCAGAGATGGCCTACGGGCCCGCTTACTTAGGCCCGTTCGACGCCTTCGCACTGGAACGCTGTTGGGCCAAATAAGAGGTACGTGCGCAGTAGATTCTCGTGTTTGTTTGTCGCGTCTCGCATCATTGAACAAGGCCTTTGTTCGATGGTGCGGAAAAGAAACTTTGCGCGGAGACGACGCTGCTAAATGGCGGAGACCGGCGGCCTTCCCGAAGCGGTGTGGACAGCGGCCGGGCGGGTCTCGAAAGCCGGGCGGGTCAAGCAGCTGTTGGCGTGGCTCGACAGCGGCGGGCGGGTCAATGCGACTTGCCGGATGGGCGATGTGAGTGGCGTCACCGCGCTGATACTCGCCGCCCATGAGGGCCACGAGCGGGCGGTCGAGCTGCTGCTTCAGCGCGGCGCGGAGCTCGGCCAGCAGGACAGCGTCGGCTTCACCGCGCTGATTCACGCCGCCCTCAGCGGCCACGAGAGGGTGGTCGAGCTGCTGCTCCAGCGTGGCGCTGAGGTCGACATGCAGAACAGGAAAGGCGGCACCGCGCTGATTCACGCCGCCGAGAACGGCCACGAGCGGGTGATTGACGTGTTGTTGCAGCGCGGCGCGGAGATCAACCTGCAGAACAGCACCGGCGGCACCGCGCTGATGGGCGCCACCTACTACGGCCATGCGCGGGTGGTCGACATGCTGCTTCAGCGCGGCGCGGAGGTCAACCTGCAGAAGGGCGACGGCATCACCGCGCTGATGCTGGCTGCCCAGGACGGCCACGAGCGGGTGGTCGGGCTGCTGCTTCAGCGCGGCGCGGACTTCAACCTGCAGAAGAGCGACGGCGGCACCGCGCTGATGCTCGCCGCCATCAACGGCCACGAGCGGATGGTCGAGCTGCTGCTTCAGCGCGGCGCGGATGCCAACCTGCAGAGCGGCGACGGCTTCACCCCGCTGATGCACGCTGCCAGCAAAGGCCACGAGCGGGTGGTCGACTTGCTGATTCAGCGAGACGCGGAGATCGACCTGCAGGACAGCAAAGGCTACACCGCGCTGGTGGTCGCCGCCAGGTGCGGCCACGAGCGGGTGGTCGAGCTGCTGCTTCAGCGCGGCGCGGAGATCGACCAGCAGGACAGCGACGGCGTCACCGCGCTGATGATCGCCGCCCTCTACGGCCACGAGCGAGTGATCGACATGCTGTTGGGAAACGGCGCGGAGATCAACCTGCAGAACAGCTACGGCTGGACCGCGCTGATGTGCGCCGCCAACAACGGCCACCCCGCCATCGTGCTCCGCCTGCTGCGGGCGGGCGCGGATACGAAGCTGCGCTCTGCGAAGGGCGAGTCCGCGCTGCAGATGGCCAAGGAGGAGGGCCACGCCGAGTGCGTCGAGGCTTTCCGGCAGCACATCGCGGAGGTGACTGCGAGCCGGCGCGAGGCGGCGGCGGGCGGCGCGGGCGACGCTTCCTCGGGCGAGGGGGCGGCGGGAGCGAGGGCCGTGGCCTCTTCCGGCTCACTGGGCAACCTTCCCCAAGAGGCGGTGGACGCGGCTCTCCAAGGCGACGAGGCGGCGCTGCTGTCGTGGCTCGAAAGCGGCGGGCGGGCCAATGCGACTTGCCGGATGGGCGATGTGAGCGGCATCACCGCGCTGATGGCCGCCGCTCAGGAGGGCCACGAGCGGGTGGTCAAGTTGCTGCTTCAGCGCGGCGCGGAGATCAACAAGCAGAAGAGCGACGGCTTCACCGCGCTGATACTCGCCGCCATCGGCGGTCACGAGCGGGTGGTCGAGCTGCTGCTTCAGCGCGGCGCGGATGCCAACCTGCAGAACAGCGACGGCGTCGCCGCGCTGATGGCCGCCGCCGGCAACGGACACGAGCGGGTGGTCGAGCTGCTGCTTCAGCGTGGCGCGGAGATCGACCAGCAGGACAGCGACGGCGACACCGCGCTGCTGCTCTCCGCCTCCAACGGCCACGAGCGGGTGGTCGACTTGCTGCTTCAGCGCGGCGCGGGTGCCAACCTGCAGAACAGCTACGGCTGGACCGCGCTGATGTGCGCCGCCGGCCAAGGCCACCCCGCCATCGTGCTCCGCCTGCTGCGGGCGGGCGCGGATACGAAGCTGCGCTCTGCGAATGGCGAGTCCGCGCTGCAGATGGCCAAGAGCAAGGGCCACAGCGAGTGCTGCGTGCGCGCCCTCGAGGAGCACGCGGCGGCGCAGGCAACGGCGAGGGCGGTGGAGAGTGCGGCGGCAGAAGTGGAGGCGGCGCGGCATGCCGAGGCGCTGCTGGCGGAGGAGGAGGCGGAGAGGGAGGCGGGGCGCGCCAAGGAGAGCAAGAAGGGGAAGAAGAAGAAGAAGAAGAAGAAGGGCACGGGCGGCGGCGGAGGCGCTGGGCCGTCGCAGGAGCCCGAGGATGAGGCGGAAGAGGAGGGAGAGGGCGAGGCGGCGGCGGCGGTAGAGGAGGCGGAGCTGGCGGCGGCGCTCGAGGAGAGCGCGAGGCTGGAGGGAGCGAGGCCGGTGGTGGAGGAGCGGACGTTTGTCGCTGCGACCGAGGCTGGTTCGCCGTCGGCTGCTGCCGAGGCGCCAGTTGCGAGGGAGGAGGAGCCGCCGGCCGACTTCATCTGCCCGATCACGACCGAGATTATGGTCGAGCCAGTCGTGGCGGCCGACGGGCAGTCGTATGAGCGGACGGCGATCGAGCGCTGGCTCGCGACCAAGTCGACGAGCCCGCTGACCGGCGGCGAGCTCGAGCGTAGCATCTTAATCCCGAACCACAATTTGCGCCGGACGATTCGAGAGTGGCAGGAGGCGCGGGCGTCACTTTGAGCCCCCAGCGCGGTGAAGATTAGCATCTAGCGCAACGGGGGGCAAGGGACCAACTACCGAGCAGTGCCCAAGCCCGCGCATTGCAGCGCCGGGGACGCGATCCTTCGCGAGCGTGCTTGATGTGAACGCACCAGTAGTTCTTGCTACTTTCGCGCTTGGGGTACACTTGGCGGGTTGCGCGCGCAGTGCGCGCGTTGCGCGCGCTTTACCTTTAGGGATTAGGCCTTTCTCCTTTTGCGCGTTGGGTTCACTGTGCGCGTGTCTCGAGCGTGTTTCGCTCCTCCAGTAAATGCTACCCAATCGTAATTTTTGACGATTGACCGAATCATGAGTTCCACTTTAAGTAGCATATGTATTTCCCCAGCCAAACTTCTCTCACGGCGACGACGCGGCCCGGCTGCGCGGCAGCACGCATCGATCGCCGCGCCTCCCAAAGAGCAGCGTCCAGTTGATGCGGCGGTTGCGGTACCCCGGCTTGAAGGCCACCCGCCCGCTGCGATGGAAGAGGTCCGACTCGAAGACGACGAGCCGATTCTGCCGATACGGCACCGTCACGTTACGGAAGCCGCTCTCCTCCAAAAGGCGGCGACGCGCCGCCTCGTTGTCACCGCCGTGGTTGCGCTGCGCGCCCGTCCAACTCGCGGGCGGCTTCTCCGTGTAGACGACGAGCCCACCCTCCGCGCTGTCGGCCGCGGAGAGCGCCTCGTCGGGGGTGAGCCAGATGTTCAGGTTGACGGCGGCCTCGTCCGCGTGGATGTTGATGCCAGCCTGCATCTCGTCATCGTACTTGTACATCCACGTCGCGGTGAGGCGGTGCGAGCAGAGCACGCGCGGCATCGCCCGCCGAAGCTCGGCCACGGTAGGCTCGATCAGCTGGAAGTGCGCCAGCTCGCCGCCCGAGAAGGTGCCGCCCTCGGCACGCGCGTAGGTGCCGAGGTAGCCTGCCTTCGAGTCCCACCACACGGTGGATCGCATCGCAAACTCGAGCGCGGCTTCGAGCGCGGCGGCCGACAGCAGCCCGTCCACGACCGCCACCGAAGGGGACGCGGAGCCGTAGGTCGCCTGAGCCTCTGCGAGCGCGCGCGATGTCGCGCCGAGGACGGTCTCGCCTGGCGGGAGCTGAGCGTCGTGCACGTGCGCCAGCCGGTTGTGCCAGTGCTTGATCTCGCCGAACTGGGCCGGCGAGAGGACGACCGCGCCAATCGTGTGCGCCTCGGCCTGCCGCCTCGAGAGCCACTCGTCGAGCGACTCGCCCGCGCGCGCTCTCGGCGCCGTCGCCTCCTCGCGCGGCAGCGCGTCGAGCAGCCTCTCGTGGCTGTGAAGCGTGGCGCGCAGCATAGCCTCCGTCAGCCCGCTCTGCCGCAGGCT